GGAGCAAACAAGTTTACAACATCATCTAAGTAGAGGAAAGGAGAGTTTGGTGTATTGTTTTCAGCACAGAACTTTGCAAACAAATTTCAAAGTGTATATGAAGAAAATGTGCAAAACTAACTGAGACAAGTTTGAAGAAGGTATCTATGATGTTCCATGTCTCGTTGGTTGTGGAAGCACAGAAACCTCACAATGCGGTGCCAACATCTGCTCAGCATCTGGCAAAGGGCTTCTGGCTCCACTGGAACAGTTTGGAAGGCATGAGGGAGGGAGACACTCGCGTGTATTTAAGGTCTCTGGTGTCAAAGAGTGTGATGTACTCATCTTTGTATTCATTCGAGTGTTCTTCCCAGCATATGACTCATTCGTTATAACGTCTGTTTTTCTTTAAATCAGAAAATGATGTCCTTCAAAAATCACTTAAAGTCTTTTGTTAATGTATCATACTACTTATAATAAAAACTCAATGTTTAAGATCTTATTTGTTTAGCTAGTTCAAAGAAAAAAAATTCAGCAGCAACAACAACAAGAAAACAAAACAGGGCCAGGGAAATAGCTCAGTGGCTTATGTGCCTGCCTGGCAAACACAAAATTTTAAGTTCAACCCACAAAAAAAAAGAAGAAGAAGAAGAAGAAGAGAAAAGAAAACAAAACAGTAAGTACCTCCATACATTAAGCTCTCTCTTGGTTTTTTTTTTGTTTGTTTTTTTGCAGAACCAGGGATGGAATTCAGGCCCTTGCGCTCGCCGGGAAAGCTCTTATTCTACTGAGCCATCTCCCCAGCCCAAGAGGTAGAATCTTATTTACTTTAGAGGAAATGCCTACCAGACCTGGGAAACTGGTTGAAAAATTTAGCGAAATACCCTGCTTTGCCTATCAATAAATTACTCATTATATTATTTATAAGAAGATTAACAGTATAGAGAAAAAAGCCATGCAGAGGAAATGCACTGCATCCATCCGTGCAACGTTCTTATTGCAGGCAGCCGAGTTAGATAGAAATAACATAAGCAGTCAGCCAGGGCCAGGCCCTCGAAGGAGACAGCACAAAAGATGAGATGCCTTACAACTGTGGGAGGGACGGATGCTCCTGCTGTGAGCCAGACCTAAAGACCTAAAAGCCAAACAAATGCTAAAAGAGTAGCACCTGGGATTGATATTCTAAATAGGTATCGATCACCTGGAAAGACCCAAGTGAGTCACTAGCCCAACCCCCAAAAGAAAGAGACCCTGTCCTGTATTCCAACCCCCAACAGGGAGCGACCCTGTCCTGTATTCATGCCCTATTCATCCCTGCTTGCTATGTGACTTGCTTTCCCATTTGTTTTTGTGTTTTGTGGTTTTTTTTTTTTTTTTTTTTTGGAACCGGGGATTGAACTCAGGCTCTTGCGCTTGCCACTCAAGCACTTATTCTACTGAGCTATCTCCCCGGCCCTTCGCTTTCCCATTTGATACTGGATTTAATCAGTTTTACCTGAGCAATGGTGCTTGTAATCCCATTGGTTGACCATAGTTTTGTCCCACCCCCACCTCCACCTAAGCGAGTTTCGCCTTTCTCCACCTTAGCCCCACATGGTTTTACACTATAAAAGTCCCTGGAGGAGACAGCTTCCCGGGGGAACTACCCACTTGGGCCCCCCTCCTGTCCCTCTGTTGGACAGGAGCTTTCTTTCTTTCAATAAATATATTCTGCTCATAACCTTGATTTGTTCCGAAAATTCATTCTTCAGTTTTAGAGAACATGAACTCGTACAGGTCAGGTTGGGAGATCATTTTTCCCTATGTCATTTGGAGGTTCCCTATATGGCTTGGAGGTCACCCACCCGAGATCAGTTTTTCTCCCTGTATCTTTTTTTTTTTTTTTTGCAGAACTGGGGATTGAACTTAGGCCCTTGAGCTTGCCAGGGAAGTGCTTATTCCACTGAGCCATCTCCCCGGCCCCTCCCTGTCTCATTCTTACAAGGGGAAAGGCTCAGGCATGCTTGCTCATCTAAAGCAGGGGCCATGTGAGAACAGCCCTGCTCAGCCTGAACTGGGAGAATTCATGAAGACAGACTTACAGTTTTTATCATTCTCTCAGAGTGCCAGGGTTACAGACATACATCACAAACTTGGCTTGTTACTTAAAAAAAAAAAGTCAGAAAAGCTGGATGTGGTGCCCCACGCCTGTGATTACAGAACTCCCAGAGGCTGAAGCAGGAGGATCACAAACTTGAGCCCCACCTAGGCAACTCTGATTTAGGAAGACCATCTCAAAGTTTAAATAT